ATCCAACTAACCTTAGTATTCAACTGATATAACCAACAACTGGAACGACAGATTAAATCCCGGACGGGCCCCCACTTTGTAACGTTAACCTATCTATCAGCCAAATAGAAGGAGAACGTCCCCGGATTCTTTTTTCGGGGTCATATGCAAATACCTTACGGCCTAAGTGGATGAACACTTAACACAACGACCACTAGGGCTCGAATTCAATGTCTAGGGAAGCTAGTGATACTATTGTAATTAACACTCATCCAATCTACATACGACCTTTTAATCAGCGAACTCAGAAGTGGCAGAACACAAGGTTGAATAAATAAAATATTTAATGTATAAAATATCAAAAACCCAACTTACACAATGTAGGAAAAAACACTATCACAGATTTCTACACTGTCTAAAGAACGGCTACAGGCCACACAACACTGCTGTAGTTTCTAGAATTACTTAGCGACAAGTAATATTAAACTAGAAGACTAAATCAACTGAAGAAAGCAAGGCACACACAGGTCTTAAGTACTCTCACGTTCAAATGGTCAGAGTCTATAGCCGGACAATATGGACGGCTGCCGGATCGAGGTAAAACTGCCTCGTAGACTGCCAGGTCAAGAAAAACTGCCACGTGTTGCGAGTGTGCAGTGCAATTAAAGACTTCTGTGACAGGGGAGGTTATCCTCAACTCATGTCGCCATTGGTTGGGATAATCATCTGATCAGAATCATTCAATCAGATTTTAATGGAAAATTTCTATGTCTCAAACACCTTAATAAGTCAGTGGAAAAACCCCAGGTGTTACACCATCATTCCATATAAGGAATTATACAATGTCAAAATAAAAATGACTCGACCTAAGTAGGTCACAAGAGAAAGCTGCTAAAGAGAAAGCTGAAAGAAAAGAAGAAGAGAAGGCTAGAAAAGAAAAAGCTTCTAAAGCGAAAGCTGAAGAAAAAGAAGAAGAGAAGGCTAGGAAAGAAGAAGAGAGGACTAGGCGGTTAGAAGAAAGAACTTGGAAAAAAGAAGATGATGAAAGATAGAGAGCAGCAAAAAAAGAAGAAGATGAAAGGATGATAGCAGCAAAGAAAGAAGAAGATGACAAAGTAATGAGAGAATTAGCTGCTGAGATAGAGATAGTGCGTAATAGATCAAGAGTTATTACAGACATGCAAAAAGAAGAAGAAATCTCGGATGGAGATAAAGTAGAGGAGACTGTACAACCAAAAGGAAAGCGGAAGAAAAGAAACAGAAAACAAAGAGCAGATAAAAGGGCTGAAACTATGGAAAAACAAGTTGGCCTACATGAACTAGCATATGAACAAGAACTATTAGAAATGAAAGCTATAACAGACACAAATGAACCAAAATTAGAAAGTGAACAGACATAATTTAAAGCAGAACTTGAAGAAGTAAATATTAGCAACCTTTGGAATGAAGAACAGAGTAACATAGTCCAGGAAGAATTGAAACCCAAGGATAAAACAGAGGTTGAACTTAAAAATGATTTAAAGGTGACAGATACATTAGAATGTCTTAAGATTGACTCTTTATTGACTCAAACGCAGGTACACGAGAATATTATTGAAAGTTGTATCGTAAGTCCATCAGAGAATGGCAGTCAACAAGAAACAAGTCCATCAGAGAATGGCAGTCAACAAGAAACAAGTCCATCAGAGAATGGCAGTCAACAAGAAACAAGTCCATCAGAGAATGGCAGTCAACAAGAAACAAGTCCATCAGAGAATGGCAGTCAACAAGAAACAAGTCCATCAGAGAATGGCAGTCAACAAGAAACAAGTCCATCAGAGAATGGCAGTCAACAAGAAACAAGTCCATCAGAGAATGGCAGTCAACAAGAAACAAGTCCATCAGAGAATGGCAGTTAACAAGAAACAAGTCCATCAGAGAATGGTAGTCAAAATGATTTAATAAGCCCATCCGTAAATGGCAGTGATGATTTAATAAGTCCATCGGAGAATGGCAGGAATCATGATAAACTAATGATGATTAATGAATCAGTGAACTTAATAAGCCACAATGAAGAGAACGTACCTATTGAAGATTTACTTCGAAAATTGGAGTCAAACTATAAAGAAGATAAACTAGAACTCAAGAATAAATTTAACAAAGAAATGGAGAAATTAACCCAGAAATTTATGTGTGAACTAGAATCAATAAAGAAGCACAAGGAAGTTAAGAAAGATGAAACAATATCTAGAAACTACAATGTCAATAAATTACAAACTGACAGTAAAAGAAACGTATCAAACTATGAATACAGTCACCATGTTAATAAAAATGTCATTAATGTCATTAATGCACAGAATGAAAGTAAAAGAAATTTAGCAAACTATGAATACAGTCACCATGTTTATAAGAAGCCAAAATCTAGATGTTTTTACTGCGGGAAAACAGGTCATTACCAAGATCAATGTTGGCATAGGTTGGCAAATCATAGAAGAAACAATTATGTACAAAGAAAGTCATGTAGGAGATATAGTAATTTAAGAAATAATGTATCAAGTTCTAATGAAAGATAACGAAGCAAGATGTATTATGAGCGGCCAAAGCAATGCCATAATATTTATATTAAGTTGGTTGATGAACCAAACGAACGTACACAAAGTAAGATAGCTACTGACGTTGTTCAGAAACCAGAGGAGAATATTAAAACAAATAAAGTAACACAAGTTACACGAAGTCTAGGAAATCATTATGGTAGGAAAGCTTAAAGCTACACATATAATTTGAGGGAGAGATGGCAAACAGGTCATCGTCAACTACACAAGAACGATTACTCATGCTATAGGGTTAAACAAGGATGCTAAGATTAAATTATCAATTGACAATTTCTTAATATTATACAGTCTGTAACTGTAAAATATGGATATCAAACAATTTGTATCAGTAAATATAAATTGTGTACTATTTCAAGAGAATGTAAACTGTATTATGTTAAACCTATTCTATACTATTAATTAACAGGGAATAATGTATAAAGTAAAAGTTAGAGACTATTTATTCCGCATAACAATAAGACGGAAGTCTCAATGATGAATTGTGTATTAGTCGATACCTGTGAAAGGCAAGAATGTTGTTGTGTTGTGACCTAGATATGACTGAAATGGGTCGACTAGGGGAGACAACAAAGTATATTACTCATGCGTGGTAATAACATGCCTTGATGATAAGGTTGTTTTTTACTACATAGGATATAATTATTTAATTCATGAGTTGAATTAAGTCTTTAAGTATTTTAACTATGTGTTATGTTTTGAAATTAAGTCCTATACCAAATTAGTTTGGTATATTATTTATCCCAACTGATGTAGTTTATTTATACTACAGTGACTGGGTAATTGAAATGTTTTTTTCTCCTATGTGAATGTATATTGATGCATTAAATATTACATATAATGCTTGTACATTTAAAGTTTTTGTTCAAAACACTGACATATTTTAATTATCAGTGATATAGTCAATACATACTGTTGTATTTTTATGCACTATAAATTTATGACTACAAGTGTTTAGTCTAAAAAGAATATATTTTACTCTACTTTGAGTTGTACACAATTTTTTGTTGTCTGGCACATGATCCTGCCCTACCAATATTGTATTTATAAATTTTGTTACACTACACAAAATTTTATTTGAAGGGGGGACGTGTCACAGACTGTATAATTAGGTATGTTTATATTATATTGTGTTTTACATGAAGTTGCATGAATGTAGAGTACCTGGCTAGCGGAAGGACTGTCTGAGCGACTCGTCATGTATTTTCCCATGCTTTTGGGTGAGATCGCTCATGTACGTAAGGGGAGAGAATGGACCGTATAAAAGGTAGAGCGAAAGGTGAACGGGTGCTTGCGCTTGGACTGTGATTGTGAATGTAGGATGTCACTACGTCACTTTGATTCGTGACTGTACTTATACTAGATTATACTAGTTGTTTATCTATGGATTTACTATGGATTCATCATTTCACTGTAGTGTATAAAGTGTAAATAAAGTTATAGTTTCACAACTACTGTTGCTCGTGTGAGTTTATTGAAGAACCCACAATAACAACAATGAAATTGATGTTGTTACAGAAACAAAAGTAGTGTTTACATACATTTCAGTAACGCTTTACTAACATAATTATTAGTGATAAGGTAAAATCTCTCTCTCTCTCTCTCTCTCTCTCTCTCTCTCTATATATATATATATATATATATATATATATATATATATACATATATATATATATATATATATATATATATATATATATATATAGTGCAGTAGTGCACAAATATACTCTACCTGCATTAAAGGAAACATGTTATTAGTGATAAGGTAAAAGAATCTCTCTCTCTCTCTGTCTCTCTCTCTCTGTCTCTCTCTCTCTCTCTCGCTATATATATATATATATATACATATATACATATATATATATATATATATATATATATATATATATATATATATATATATCTATATATATATATATATATATATATATATATATATATATATATATATATATATATATATATATATATATATATATACATATATATATAAACATATATATATATATATATATATATATATATATATATATATATATATATACATATATATATATATATATATATATATATATATATATATATATATATATATATATATATATATATATATATATATAGTGCAATAGTGGACAAATATACTCTACCTGCATAAAAGGAAACATGTTCCTCCACTTTTCCCAGGCTTACAACATCTAAAAACAACATCCTTAACATAATAGATACAGAAATACAGTCGTCTTTGAAGTGTTCTCTTATTCTATTTAGAACATCATTCATTATTTCAGCACCTGGCTAAACAGTAAATATATCATACGTTTACATGATTGTACAAAAGTAAATTTATTTTAAGCTTTCATAGTAGGATGCAACCTACAGAAGATACAAATGTATTACATATATGAATTTTATTTATAAAATAACTTTTTTATTCTATACCTCGTAAATCTTGTTCAGTAAATCTTTGAAATTAAATATCCTGTAATATTAAAAAAATTAATTAAAATTAACTGTAATTACAGACAATCTCTTTTCTGCTGTAGTGCTCTATTACAATTTTTCAACACTGAAATGTCCAATTGTGATAATTTTCAAACTTAGTTTAAAGTATGATGAAAGTATAGAACTCAGTCAAATTACCAATCTCTAAACAATAAAAGTAAAAAGAAAATACTTGTAGATATGCAAATATATTAAAGCACTACCATTGAAATTAAAGATTTCCTTGACAAAACCTACACAAAAATATAAAACATCTTACCTTGAGTTACTATCTTGAACAAGGTTAGAAGGCGTGTGTCTTGTCCATGTATTCAAACCTGCTGGTTTGTAAACAATGTGCACTATCATTTTGACAGTATTTTGAAATAAATAAAACGCCAAGTATAAAAGAGTATTTAATTTCTAATTGTTCGCCGAATTAACATATAACATAGGCTTCCATGTTTGTACATTTTACGGTCACTTGTTTAACGACTTTGGAAAAGGTAAGTTATAAGTGGGTTAGAAAACTACTAATTAAACTTGTCGTTATATAACTTTTCATAAATGTAAACATTGGTCGAAAAGGCTGGCATCCTAGTTTAAATGTATTCTGGCATTATTTCATAAAAAATTAATACCATTCACTAAAACTAATGTTGCCCGCTGGCAATAACATAAAAACCAACAACATAATATATGTGTAAACATACATGTACAGTTGATCTCAGTTTCTCGCTTAATAGAAGAGACTAGAATTGTGATTGCCTTGTTTTTTTTATTTCTTTTGAACAAAGTAATGTTTCTATCTCAAAACCGATATCACGACATACATTGAATACCGTTTTATATAGGCTATGTAAGTTTTATATAAGTAGAACATTTTACAGGACTGCTTGGCCGCACACAAGAGCAATTGATCGATAACGTTAATAGTCCTGATTGAAAAACTCACATATCAGTAGATCACTAGGTAGGGACTACTTAAAATCAAGAAGAAAAAACTCCAAAATTTAAATACTACTGCCTTGCAGACTGTTCTTGGGTGGAAAATGGAAGTTTATCCAAAAAGACAGGTTGACAGATAATACGGGATTGTTTTAAAGCATTTTCTGTTTTATAATACAACGAGCCGGCCCGCGGCATAACATACGCCGCTATTTAGTTGTTGTTTTTTTCTACTTTTCAGTAATTCATATTTTGTGAATTCGACAGTACCAAAGCTGACACTGAAATATTTCTTTAAAACACTATAAGTAGCTCGTTAAGGACCATAACTCCCCCCCCTTCCTCCCCCCCCCAACGTTTGAAATCGTTTCAAACTAAATTATCTGCCCCTAATAGCCGTCACTAAACCCGACTCCACGAAGGTAAACATAGCGTGAACCACAGCTCACTAAGACCATGTATGGGTGGGGATGGTAGGAAGCGCGTTTACAGCTTGTTTTCTAGCTTGTTTATATAGATTAAGAACGAAGAAGAAAATGAAAATCTTTATTTTGGATGTTGAACATTTTAACTCACCAGAATTGTAAATATGACTTGATGAGTTTTTTCCTCTGTTTATGGCTAAAGCTGACTGTTGAGCCAACTCATTGAGAAAAGCTGTCCATAATTCTACGTCACGAGTTGCGGTATTATTACAAACCGATCTCTCATGTAACTTGTGTAAACCAGAAAAAACTGATTCAAATTCTAAAATATCGTTTAAGTTAGCATTTGCTTTGATGTCTACCAAAGTCTGTACGACACTGTAATGTCCATTTTTTAATGCCAAGTCATAAGCTGTTTGGCCTTTTTTGTTGACCCTATTGATGTCGTTTGTCTTCTTTAATAAAATCTGGACCACATTGTTAAACCCATATTTAGATGCCAGCATCAGAGCTGTGTTGCCCTTGTTGTCTGTAGTGTTGACGTCATCAGTTTTCTCTAACAAGAGGTGCACTATCTGATTGGGCTCTTTAATAATCGGTTGTATGTTTTTATCAGTAGATCCTTTGTTTTGTCGTTGATTTTTCAGACCTAATTGTATAATGGCTAACATTAGCGGAGATCTGTCTTCTCGGTCCATGACATTAGTTTGTGCATTTTTGTTTAGCAACTGTTTAATGACAGGTAAAAGATGAGCATCGACTTTATGTTTCAAAAGTTTTATTAGCATAGTTTCATGTTTGTAATCAGAAACATTAACATCCGCATCTTGAAATAACAAATATTCTATCAGTTCCAACGCTTTGCTGTAATGCCAACGAAATACGGGTTTAAAATATAAAGCATACATGAGTGCTGTTCTCTGTTTCTTATCAACCTGGTTGACCTTTGACCCCTTACTGACCAAATATTTCACCGTGTCAACTAAACCAGCTTGTGCCGCCATCATGAGTAAAGTTCTACCTTTAGGACACACAACATCAGCTTCTTTAAAAAGTTTACAGACTTGTTCTATAAACTCGTAGTTTCTGTTTTCTAAAGCTATCATTAAAGCTGTTTTTTTGTATTTGTTTACTGCGTTTACATCTTGTTTTATTTCAAGGAGTTTCGTATTGCAACTGCCATAGTTAAATGGGCCATGTTTTGCATACAACATAAGTAATGTGTTACTATCTTTATCCGCAAGATCAAAATATTCTAGGTTTTTTGATTTAATCGAAATGTGCTCCGACATATTTGGGTAGTTTGATGCAAATTTCAAAATAAAATTGATTCCAGATGCTGTTAGTTTAAAACCATTACCATATCTATTTCTTGTTATTACTGTTATCAGTATTTTCTTTACTGCAGCATCAATCTGTGAAACACAAACTCCTCTTCCCAACAAATATTCCATGAATCTTATGTCACCACATTTAGTAGCCCACATTAAAGCCGTTCTTCCTTTAATGTCTGTTTGATCTAAAGCTGACTTGTGACTACTGACCTGTTGTGTGATTTGGTCTAATCGTGTAGTCTTTAGTAATAATGTGATCATATAGCGACTATCACATTTTGCTTTAGCAGCCCACATTAACGCCGTCCGACCTTGTTTGTCTACGATATAAATGTCAGCTTTATGCTTCAACAGAATCTTGACATTATCTTCTTTACTGTTTTTAACAGCTTTTATTAGCGCTGTTTCTCCTGTATTATCAACAACGTTAACATCAGCCTTGTGATGTCCCAACAATTGCCGCACTACATCTTTATTACGGCATGTTTCTACAGCATACATTAACGCCGTCTTCCCTTCACTATCCCCCATGTCAATGTCCCTATAAATTCCTGCTGGTATAAATCTCTTCTGTACAGCCAACATGAGCACCGAGGTTTTGTTGTTGTTGACATGGTTGACGTCAGCGTCGTGATGAAGTAGCTCTTGTATTATTGCACTTGGTAGATGAATATTGTAAAAAAAACTAGGTTTATCGTTCTCTACCTTTATAGCCAACATAAGAGCTGAATTACCATCATTGTCCACAATATTAACGTCAACAAGATTGGTGGCAAGAAGTAGTTTGACATGCTCCAATGATATTTTTTCTACAGCAAACATTAGCGCTGTTTTACCCTGCTTGTTTTTATGATTAACATCGTGTGTACAAGAGAGTATTCGTGTTATAATTTCTACTCTTTGATTTTGTACAGCTAGCATTAGAGGTGAATTACCTTCATTGTCTACTATATTGACATCAGGATGGTGATCTAAAATTATGTTGGTTAAATTATTATATGTACTGTTTTTTAACACTTTTAAAATTGCTGTTTCACCATTGTTATCTTTTGCATTTAAATCGTTAGTCAGCAGTAATAACCTTTTCATAACTGTTTGTTGTGAAATTACAAAATTATTTGAGATGTAGTGCTGATAAGGCGGAGATGTAAAATAATTCTTTGACAAAAGTTCCATCAGTGCATTTCTTCCATCTTTCCACACTTTAACATCTGCTCCATATTTTAACAACACCTCAACAACCTCTGGTTTATCAGCCAGCATCAGAGCTGTGTTACCACAGTGATCTGTTTTGTTGACATCAAACCCTTTAGAAATCAGCCACTCCACAACTGTAACATGTCCACCAATAGCTGCTAACATGAGAGCGTTTTGTCCTTTAAAGTTAACATCCACAGTACCGTCATACAGTAACTCTACAATGTCCAGGTGACCATTCATGGCTGCTAACATAAAAGCTGTATTGCCATCGACATCAAATATAGAGAGATCGCTCTGTTTTTGCAAGTCATTTACTATACTGTAAAAACCTTTCATAGCAGCTAACATCAAAACATTCCGACCAGATTTATTTGTTTGGTTTAAACTTGAATATGCACTGCGTACATAGCAACTATTAACAGTATATGTTCTACTTTCATACTGTAGTAAAATTGCAGCTATTATTACATTCTCACCGTTTAATGCGATACCTAACGCGTTATTTCTTTCTCCGTCAACCATATTTACATCGGCTCCATACTGAAGTAACAATTCTACAATGCTAGAGTGATCTCCCCCAACTGCACATAAAAGTGCCGTCTCTCCAGTTCTATTTATTCTATTGTTGACTTCAGCACCCCTCTCTAGTAAAAGCTTTACAATATCAAAATGACCCTTAGTAGCAGATCTACAGAGTACAGATTCTCCATCCGAATTGATGAAATTTACATCAGCTCCAGCGTCTATTAAATAGTTTGTTATTTCAACATGTCCATTGTCACAAGCGTAAAATAGAGGCGGAGATAGGCCTTCGTTAACGTCCGCGCATTTTTTTACCAATAGTTTTACAATGTCTAGGTTTCCATTACAAGTAGATTTACAAAGTGGGGAGTCTCCTGAATTATCTTTTTTATTCACATCAGCTCCTGCTTCTACCAAAATTTTCACAAGTTCAAAACATCCACACTTACATGATTCATATAGTGGTGTAGTAAACGATCTATAATTAACATCTGCGCCATTGTCTACTAACAATCTCACAATCTCAACATTTTTCATTTTTACAGAATAACACAGAGCCGACTTTTTGTTTTTGTCAACCAAGTTCACATTAGCCTTGTGCTCCAGCAGTAATTTAACTATGTCCAGACGTTCATGTTCTGAAGCTTTTATTAACGCTGTCTGCCTTTTGCTGTTTCTACTGTTTACATTGACTCCATGTGTAAGTAATATACTCACTACATCCAATTTACCTTGATCTACTGTCGAAAGAAAAGTGCGCCGAATTTTATTCAGCGATTTTACATTTTTTATTTTTCTAATTGCTTGTTCAAGATTAACTAAATTATGATGACTTATAGCTATTTTTATTTTCTCTAAAGTATGTTCATCAGATGCATCCATTTTGGTGGGAAAAAAACTCTGAAATTGAATAGATTCAAGAACAAAATAAACGTAATCATATTTAAAAAGACGACATTCTGCAATAATTTAAAGTTTTAATTATTACATACTAGCAATACAAGTGTAAAAATCATCGACAGATGTAAACAAATAACACAATTATGCGATTCCTAACAAATACCTAACTACAGTGGTGCGCGGACCTTTGACCACAGGTGCTTTGACCATAGGGGGTTTGACCATAGGGGGTTTGACCACAGCGGAGCTTTGACCATAGGGGCTTTGACCATAGGGGGTTTGACCACAGCGGGCCTTTGACCATAGCGGTGCTTTGATCATAGGGGGTTTGACCATAGGGGGTTTGACCATAGGGGGTTTGACCACATGTGTTTTCTCAGCAGAGGGTCTTTGATCACAGGTGGTCTATCAACTGGTGTTTGGTCACAAGCGCTGTGCCCGGCTTTGATCATAGTGTGATACAATTAACACGATTGTATACATGTTTCCTGAGAGTAAAAAGCAACATGTATTTTAAAAAAGCCAAGAACTATATTTTAGTCTCCACATAAAGGCTGGTGCTAGGCCTCATAGATTTATTTTAAATATAAATGAAACACAAATAATGCGACATATAACAAGTTTCACAAATAAATAATGTAGATGTAGGCCTACTTGAAAATACATAGCATATATAAAGGATAAAAAATAATACGTGCTATACTCTCCAAGATTCTCCCATGGTTTTGACATAGAGTTGTTTAGATGACTTGTATTTATACATGATGATTTAACATATTATTACATCATGTCGATATTTAAAATATAATTTAGCAACTTTTAAAATAAATCCTTACCATATATGGACAGCATTGGACAAGCCACCTGAGATCAAAGACCCTATGTGGACAAAACACCTGAGATCAAAGACCCTATGTGGACAAAACACCTATGATCAAAGACGGACGCAGCGCTTGTGATCAAACACCAGTTGATAGACCACCTGTGATCAAAGACCCTCTGCAGAGAAAACACCTGTGGTCAAACACCCTATGGTCAAACCCCCTATGATCAAACCCCCTATGGTCAAAGCACCGCTATGGTCAAAGCCCCGCTGTGGTCAAACCCCCTATGGTCAAAGCACCTGTGGTCAAAGGTCCGCTGTGGTCAAACCCCCTATGGTCAAACCCCCTATGGTCAAAGCACCTGTGGTCAAAGGTCCTAGGACCACTACAGTATACCAATTAGGCTGAGGAGAGCTCATAAATTATTTTTGACGTGAGCTAAGAAAAGGAAAAATATAACGTTTAAGTGAGCTAAAAAAGGAATACAATTAATGTTTGATTTGTCATATTCGACAATTTATGCAAGCACCACTGTATATACATTGAAGCGTCTATTGTTTTGATGAGAAAAGTTTGTACAAGTTAAATGTGTTCTTTGGTAAATACAATCATTAGAGAGCAGTCTTTTAAATGTACAACTCAAAGCTATTTTGCACTTTATTTTGCGATTGTTAAGCTACTTTATTTTTATTTGTTTTTTAAATGCTAGCTAATTAGCTACAGTGCTGTCGCATAGCAAAAGCGATTTAAATGTCAAACCAAAGTAGGATACAATAAACATTTAATTTAGGTATTTTGCTTAGAAACAAACTGGTTATTATAGACATTATTAATTCACGTAAGTCGATAATGTAAGTTCTACAACTGTAGTGTTAGAAATCAACAAAAATGTCGTCCAGTCATACTCCTAGGTTTTATAATGTCAAAACAGGGTGTTTTATAAACGTAATGTGCAATTTGATGTTGGCTAATGTTAATGGTTGATCAGCAGTTTTCACACTATGTGTCGCTGCACCTCTATTGTAAAACAACAAATCTTGTTTTTTTCGCATCACTCATCCCATAAATAGTTTTTATGTTAGCCCGAATACGACACACGCAAGAACCAACACTTGCCTGAATGCGATAAATATCTGAATGGACACTTGCGTAAATGCGATAATCACAGGACAAATGATCTCAGACAAAATATCTAAAACAAAATACCTCACGGAAAAATGATCTCATGACAAATAATCTCAGGACAAATTATCTCAGGACAAATTATCTCAGGACAAATTATCTCAGGACAAATTATCTCAGGACAAATTATCTCAAGGACAAAAGATACCTGGGCAAAATGTATCAGGACAAATGATGTCATGGACAAATGATCTTAGACCAAATATCTCACAGCAAAATTGTGATAGTGTATTGGATGATTTTAGTTGATTTAAACATTTATTTATTGACTGCCATTTGTCTTGAGATCTTTAGTCCGTGAGATAATATATTGTCTGTAATATTTTGTCTGTAATAATTTGTCTGTAATATTTTGTCTGTAATATTTTGTCTGTAATATTTTGTCTGTTATATTTTGTCTGTAATATTTTGTCTGTTATATTTTGTCTGTTATATTTTGTCTGTAATATTTTGTCTGTAAGATTTTGTCTGTTATATTTTCTCTGTTATATTTCCTCTGTAATATTTTGTCTGTAATATTTTGTCTGTAATATTTTGTCTGTAATATTTTGTCTGTAATATTTTGTCTGTTATATTTTGTCTGTAATATTTTGTCTGTTATATTTTGTCTGTAATGTTTTGTCTGTAAAATTTTGTCTGTTATATTTTGTCTGTAATATTTTGTCTGTAATATTTTGTCTGTAATATTTTGTCTGTTATATTTTGTCTGTAATATTTTGTCTGTTATATTTTGTCTGTAATATTTCGTCTGTAAGATTTTGTCTGTTATATTTTGTCTGTAATATTTTGTCTGTAATATTTTGTCTGTAATATTTTGTCTGTAATATTTTGTCTGTTATATTTTGTCTGTTATATTTTGTTTATTATATTTTGTCTGTAATATTTTGTCTGTAAGATTGTGTCTGTTATATTTTGTCTGTAATATTTTGTCTGTAATATTTTGTCTGTAATATTTTGTCTGTTATATTTTGTATGTAATATTTTGTCTGTTATATTTTGTCTGTGATATTTTGTCTGTAAGATTTTGTCTGTAATATTTTGTCTGTTATATTTTGTCTGTGATATTTTGTCTGTAATATTTTGTCTGTAATATTTTGTTTGTAAGATTTTGTTTGTAATATTTTGTCTACAATATTGTGTCTGTAATATTTTGTCTGTAATATTTTGTCTGTAATATTTTGTCTGTAATATTTTGTCTGTTATATTGTCTGTTATATTTTGTCTGTTATATTTTGTTTATTATATTTTGTCTGTAATATTTTGTCTGTAAGATTGTGTCTGTTATATTTTGTCTGTAATATTTTGTCTGTAATATTTTGTCTGTAATATTTTGTCTGTTATATTTTGTATGTAATATTTTGTCTGTTATATTTTGTCTGTAATATTTTGTCTGTAAGATTTTGTCTGTAATATTGTGTCTGTTATATTTTGTCTGTGATATTTTGTCTGTAATATTTTGTCTGTAATATTTTGTTTGTAAGATTTTGTCTGTAATATTTTGTCTACAATATTGTGTCTGTAATATTTTGTCTGTAATATTTTGTCTGTAATATTTTGTCTGTAATATTTTGTCTGTAATATTTTGTCTGTAATATTTTGTCTGTTATATTTTGTCGGAGATCATTTGTTATCGAACCGAACGGACACTTGAACGAAAGCGATAAATACCCCAATGGACACTTGCCTGAATGGGAAGCATTGCCCGAAAGCCGCAAGTGTCTTTCAGGAAAGCGTCCTTCTCCCGTAATTGACCACCATGACCCTAGTTATTTGTTCTATTTGCAATTAAAGTAAGCTCCATATGGCCCTACAGGTGCCCAGAGTGCGCTGGCTCATTCAATAGTTTTTCACTGTTGATTCATTCTGTACCGAATCATGTGTGTAGCACACCATATAAACGGACAATGGATCAGGTGCTAAAATAGACACTGGGGATTTCCCACGAGAATACTTTAATTCACGGCGATCACATCAAAGACAAACACACAAACAATTACCCAAGACATTTTCATTTATACAAATGCATTATATATATATATATATATATATATATATATATATATATATATATATATATATATATATATATATACACTGAATACATAGCTTTAAATGACGAGACGCTCAAATTACAAACATCAATTCAAAACTAATTTTCAAAAATACTTACTGGATAGTTGAGTACCGTGTGTATAGTATATTTAAAAATTGTTCATCAGTTTAAACATTAATTAAATAGGCCTATGTGAATAACAATATGGAAACCATTTCGCGCAAAACATTCCAATCCCGCTAACATGTCTTGTTGATCTGAACGTCTCAAACTTTTTGAGGAAATGGGTCGGTAGTTATAAAAAACGAATGGGGATTCCCCGTTTGGTAATCTTCGGAATTTCCTAAGTTATTTTTCTTGAACATGTATATGCAATTTTCTTTTACATTCATTTTTAGAAAGTGATTTTTAAATTCTGTCACTCTGCAACTATGTCTATCACAAAACATATTTATATGTGAATACATGTCCTGAGTTCATAGTCACTATATTTTTAAACAGTGGCATTGTAAATTTTACCTTACTGAATGAAAATAAGGAGAAATAAAATTAAAAAGTCGGTTATTAAGTAAACATAAAAGACACATTTTTGCCACAATTTCATGCAATTAAATACTGTTTTATTTTTATTATTTTTAATTAATGATAGTAATATGTCATAACAGGCACATCGTATAGTTTATAGACACTAATTAAAGTAATTTGTATTGTTTTTTCCCCAACGTATACACGGAGTAGAAGTGCCATATTGAATTCACATTTTATAAAAATTATTTATGCTAGTAAGCCTACACGTTAAAATTCAGATTTATAGATTTCAACATGGATATGCAATTTAAACCAAACAACTTTTCAAATACGAGACTTGTTTTTTTTTTAAATCTCTGTAAACAAATCCGCATTCTAGTATAAAGATACGCTTGCTTTAAACCTTTATTTTTCAAGACGAAAAACATGCAGGTATGTTGTGTATAAGGTAGTTTACAGGCTGAGATTAGACACAGTTTGAAAAAAAGAAATTTGATATCCAGGAGGGAGCGGACACTGGTAAAAGTATATTTTCTCTAAAAACTTTATTACGTTGAACGTACCCCCTGTAGAGTCGCCTGAAGGAAACTCTAAATGCGAGTTTTGTTACGTTTGAGCTTCAGTGCAAGGTTTACGGGCGACTAAGACTATATTTAGTATTTATATGCAGTAACTACGTGTAGATCAAGCTTTAATCCTGTTAAAATGACGATTCTGGAAAAAAAATCTGTTTTGAATGACATTGTTCGTTTCCGGTTAAATTTGAAGTTAAACTGATGATATTAGTTTTAGTTTCGTTTTAGAACCTAGTGCCCTTTGTATTTCTTCCTCAACGGGCCATTTGTTTCATTTAATAATAGTTTCGCTATTCTGTCACTCTGCAACTATGTCTATCACATAATACATAACTTTTGACGTCATCGTATTTCGATAATAACGATGTACAGTAACTACGTGTAGACCAAGTTTACAAGATAAGGTATTTTGTAGAGTCTATAAACAAAATAAAATGGCGTTATTGGTTGTTAAACAAAGCACAAATTAAGAATTTAAAGCCGAAAACTATACACCGATATAATAAAGTCGTTGATAACAGAGACGAAAATATAAAACTAATTTAATTGTCTAATTTTGGAAATTAATGTAGATATACAAAACCAAAAACAGAAAAGTAATAAACATAGTTAGCGTTAGTATCACTATTAAGGTTGGGTTATTAGATGTTTGTTACTATTATATTTCCGGATCCGGTTAAAAAGGCGAATCTGGGGGGGGGGGGGCGGGGACGCGTTTTCAGTTGTTTTTTTCTTTGCTGTTGAATTTGAACTTGATGTGGTTATTTTAATTTTGATTTCGGTTGAGAGAAAAAGAAAACACTATCAACTCAGCGCCCGTTGCATTTCTCACTCAACATGCCATTTGTATTTGTAGTCTTACCTTTGAGCACACACATTGATGCTATATTATAAGAAAAAACATTTTATTTGTAAGATGCTTAAAATGACATCAATGGTACTTTGTTTTACTTAGTTATTTTTAAGCCACCAACTTTTCTTACATATTAATATATTATATATATGTATATATATATATATATATATATATATATATATATATATATATATATATATATATATATATATATATATATATATATATATATATAAATCAACTATTCAAGTGAGAGAATTTCAAGATTTCAATGATGTTTATTTTTAAAAAGACTGCACATTACCCAGGAATGTAGCAATTCTGTATTCTTTTTCCTAGAATTTCATTTTACTGAATGAGCTGCTTTGTATTACATCATTTCCCGGTAGTGCCCAAGACACATGGGGCAGATGAAGTAGAGTTTATCTGTTTCATAGATAGTGTGGTCAGCAATATGCCCAGCCGCCTTTGTTTCCCTAACTTACGTTAGGTAATCATCAGAGATTTGTGGACTCATGGACATTCAACTGATTTGAATTCGAGACGCTCTGATTAGCAGTCTACATTTCTTCCTCTAGGCCACGCAGTCTCATCTATTTCAAGTGCCGATTAAAAAAGAAAACGTAAACGTAGGCATGTTATTAATATTTCTGTATATTAAACTAACCATAAGTGCGATATCACTAAAATATTTACAATAGTCCAATGCCAAACGAAATTCGACTTTCTAGAGCCAAACTCTCTGCTGTAATCACTACCAATACAATGCCAAAAAACTCTCTTTTGTTGAAGTTGGTTGAAGGTTAGAGGCTAGGTATTAGGTGCCAGGACACCATTATGGGCTAGGAGTAAACCTTAGGGATGAAGGCTTATGGTTAGGTCTAGAGGAAATGATTAGGGCAGTGGTTAGTCTAAGTAAATAATACGTTTTTATCAAAGCAAATATTAAGAAATGTATCTGAATTAATGAAATAAGCATCTTCTATAGAAATGACCATATGGGGATACAAGCACAGCATTTTATTCCCCGAAAATTCTTTAACCAAGATAAGCAGGATTTTTGTTTCTCGACTATCAGATCTAAATTTATCGTTCAACAAAGCGTTCCAGTGTTCTCTATTTTTGTCTTTTGAATGGTGTGCTGTGTTAGCTGTGTACACGTCGACAACTTGAGGCTCTAACATAGAGATCAGTCAACCGTGTCTGCATTTTAACGAAGCATGTATACAACATGTTAACATGATATGTTTTTATAAAAAATTAGAACTATGTTTGTAAATTTACCATTAACTGCAGTAATCTCCACACTTAAATAAACAACTACATCCACATCCACACCCACACCAACATCCACATCCACATCCACAATCTCATCCGTATTCACATCCACATCCACAGCAGCGTCTACATGTATACCTTCTACATCGCTTATATCTACATCTACATAAAAAATAACAACCATATCTACATCCATATCCAGATCAGCATCCAAAGCCAAAACTACAAGCACATCCACATCCACATCCACATCCATTCTACATCCGCATCCGCAACCATATTCAGATTCAGATTCAGATTCAGATTCAGATTCAGATTCAGATTCAGATTCAGATTCAGATTCAGATTCAGATTCAGATTCAGATTCAGATTCAGATTCAGATTCAGATTCAGATTCAGATTCAGATTCAGATTCAGATTCAGATTCAGATTCAGATTCAGATTCAGATTCAGATTCAGATTCAGATTCAGATTCAGATTCAGATTCAGATTCAGATTCAGATTCAGATTCAGATTCAGATTCAGATTCAGATTCAGATTCAGATTCAGATTCAGATTCAGATTCAGATTCAGATTCAGATTCACATTCACATTCACATTCACATTCACATTCAGATTCAGATTCCGATTCACATTCAGATTCAGATTCAGATTCAGATTCAGATTCAGATTCAGATTCAGAATCAGATTCACATTCACATTCGCATTCGCATTCGCATTCGCATTCGCATTCGCATTCGCATTCACATTCACATTCACATTCACATTCGCATTCGCATTCGCATTCGCATTCGCATTCGCATTCACATTCACATTCACATTCACATTCACATTCACATTCACATTCACATTCACATTCACATTCACATTCACATTCACATTCACATTCACATTCACATTCACATTCACATTCACATTCACATTCACATTCACATTCACATTCACATTCACATTCACATTCACATTCACATTCACATTCACATTCACATTCACATTCACATTCACATTCACATTCACATTCACATTCACATTCACATTCACATTCACATTCACATTCACATTCACATTCACATTCACATTCACATTCACATTCACATTCACATTCACATTCACATTCACATTCACATTCACATTCACATTCACATTCACATTCACATTCACATTCACATTCACATTCACATTCACATTCACATTCACATTCACATTCACATTCACATTCACATTCACATTCACATTCACATATAGAACCTCATCTAAATTGACAAAAATATTTTCATCGAAATCACAATTTCAGTTGATGTAAATTGAACATAGGGCTTACAAACTTATGTTATCGAACACACACCTATCAATGAACTCCCGATAAAAGGGAATATATTTTCCATATTTTCCAACCAGGCATTTATTTACAGTCAAACCAGCATATACTTTTAGCTACACCAAACTATTTTTGTTGAATATAATAAAAGGATTTTTCCTAAAAAAAAAACAATGCATTTGAGATTTTTTTTTCATGGCATGCAGTCGCTGTTTGCTTGGTGTGTGTACAACTTCAAATAAACTATTTTAGAATCTATTCTTGACGACTGGGTGGTTGAACGGGTTTGGGTACTAACAATTCGAAAGGAGATTCGAGGTTAAGAGAGGAAGTGTTTTGTTGCATACACAGGTTGTCAGTATTGTATTAAAACAGTTTCAAGTTTACAAGAACCAAATAGCTGGATCGTCACGGTGAGCATTAATTAATTAATCATTTTAAAAATAATAGAGGATCATAGAGCTTCCAAGGTAGCTGAACTATTCACCGATTTACCTTAGATACAGTCTGTGAAGTTATTTAAAAGAAACAAATCCGGGCAGATGAGGCTCGTTAGCTGGGGACAGCCACTCTTCTAGGAGAGACAACTCCAAAATCAAACAACTGCTGCCTTCTAGTTTATTCTTAGTTGGACAAAGGCTATGGAAGCAAATCCAAAACGAAAAGCAGGCTGAAATCGGAGTCAATGGCCTCAATAGCGCATAACAAGTTGACACGTATTCTTAATTGTGATGGACGCGTGGTCGAGTCAGCAAAACGCTCATGGTTGATAAATTCGGAAAAAAAATTTCTTGAGTTCAAACCCTCTGGCAGATAAGGCTCGATCCCTTCCAAAACTAAAAATTAAGAACAAGGAAGAAGAAAAGAAAATGTTTTTGCATAGGTACTTTTGTCTGTAGATGTAAATAAATATATTAAAACTCTTTAAAGAAAAGCAAGTAGGTGTAAATAGACATAGATCCAGGTCCAGATCAAGGTCTAAATTTTTAAAACTATTGGGTACATAATTGTATATTAACTATGTTTTGAAATTGGCACGTTGAATAAAACTTACTAAATGTATGCTTTCAGATCGTTTACAGTTTTAACCATGGGCTCCATATTATCTTCTTTCTCCAAACTTTGCAGATGTTTTTCTTCTAAAGTTTGTTGCATATGGAAATTGTATTTACACTACTCAGATGACTTGCAATTCTTTGCTTTATGTTTAGTTAATGTGTTCCCTGGATTAGCACCACCCCTAGCTATTTTCTTCGCATTTGCAAATGCAGTTGATGTAGGAACAGATGTATGTAATATATTTAGAGAATATATAAATTCAACATCGTGGAGACAATTTGCAAACGCCAAAACACTTAATAGTTTTATGAGCCTATCAATAAAAGCAATAGAAAAAAGTATTCCCTTTTTCAAACCATCTAGAGTTAAGGTACGCGCTGCCCTGCAAATCATTAAAAGTAAAATGAATTTCACAGTTATTTGTTTAAAGGTGGAAAACATGTATACAAATCGAGATTCATGTTCGATATGGGATGGAAGATTGATTTTTTATAGATGTTTCAGTTTGTATAGCGATGTTGAACTTTCGAAAAAAATGTTGTCTAATATATATAATGCCCACCACAATACAGGAATAACAGAAAATTATCAAACATCTGCTGCTGAAACTAAGAATGGGCAAAAGATAAACACAGCTGAAAAGCTCAATGGCATCACGAATAAATCAAAACAAACCAAAGAAAACACGCAAAGAAATCTTGAAACTTTACGAAGTACTCCGCCTATGGATGTTGTGGAAACTGATCAATGTAAAAACCTAAACAAAACAGTATCTCTGGAGAAGACACAGCATACAGTAGAAAGCAATTCTTCACCACAAAACTTGAAGCCTGACGCAAACCCTGCTGAAACAAGTGGAAGTCATACACCTTTTTTTAAAATTAAGAAAAATAATTTGTTTAAAAAATTGTTTAAAAAATTTAGTTCTAATAAAAATGAGAACAATAAAGTAGATATATCTCGTCTCCAAAATATAGACGTACTAAAAAAAATTGAAACGATGACCAGCAATTATCATGCAAAAAGAGAAGAAGTGCAACATATAAACTTGCCCGACAATATGAAAGATAAATCGAAATTACAACAGGCAATTGAAGATCTAAGTGAACCATCTTACAATACAACGAGGACTGCAATTGCGGAATTAAAAAGAAAAAAAACAAACAACTTATATCAACAAAATTGTGTACTGATGGAAGAACAAATATTGAATGTTTCAGAAAAAAATGAATCTGTTTTCAAAGAAGAAAAAAATAAGAATAATTGATTTTTTTCAATATAAATATTTAACAACAATTATAAGCTTTTAGTCCTTTTATTTGTTTAATAGATTTATCTTTAAGTGAATATTTCAAAGTTACAAAGTTATAAAAACATCGAAATATCACTTTTTCTTTTTTATACTTTTTGTTATCTCCTTACATTACTATTACTATTAATTAGCTCAATATAAAATCGTGATTTAGAATTTCCTTCACATGTAGCCTCCCCTGTGTGTGTTTTGTGTTATCGAATGGCAGGTATCCACTGTTTTCACATAGTTGTAGCCCTTGCTTGAGTGTATGGCTTACAAGCGACGACATGTGTTGACACGGAGATAGTCAGGTCACGAGTGATAGCGTGTGTTAGTTTGTAACATTTGGTTCAACAACGAGATGACGGGGTGTAAACATATGTTCTGGAATGTTATGTATTAATTTTTTAAATGCATATTTGTATTATAAATTTTCTCTTTTAAACATGTATTATTATTACCGTTTTTTGTATTATCAAGTACGAGCCGACCCGCGTATCATACGCCGCTATTTAGTTGTTTTATTTTCTACTTTTCAGAAAATTCATAATTTGTGAATTCGACAGTACCAATGCTGCCACTGAAATTATTTGCTATAAAACACACTATCCGATGGTCGTTAAGGACGACACCCCCTCCTTTCCTCCAACCCTTACACACCACCCCCACCCCTTGAAAGCAAACTCCTCTTAGTTACCTCCCCTAAGTTTAACATCGTGTTTCAAACGACATTATCTGCCCCTAATAGCCGTCACTTAACCCGGCTCTACGATTGTAAACATTTAGCGTGAACCACAGCTCACCAGACCATGTGGGGGTGAGGGTGGTAGGGAGCGCGCTTACAGGAAGAGAATTATATATAGGCTATAGATATTTTATTACGTTTGCACGTCTTGGTATTATCATGTATTAAGTGTATCCCATAGACTTAAAATAAAAGAACTCGCTAGATAGTAAAATTACAGTAAGTGTATTGAAACATTCAAAATTAGTTTTTAATTTTAAAATAGTTATTTATTTTTTTGAAGCATGACGACCTGTGTAAGACTGTATAAAATTATAAAACTTTATTTTGTTTATTGCGTGTGGTATTTCGGGATAAAAAATACAATTTTCCAAAAAATAACACAATAAACAATCAGAATATAACATTATAACAGTAAAGCTTGTTTTGACAGCAGCTGAGCGTAGAAAAAAAAATGGTGAGATCCCCATACACTCTTGTATAGGCCCACCCTTATGTAACAGTACGCTTTGGGATGGCTCCTCGAGAGGGTTAAATTACAATAGGATTTAAATATATTCAATGGTAATATTTCCTGTTTATCCGTATCCTCAAAACTAGAAGCTATTTCTTGAATGTTTTTTTTTATATTTTCTATATATAATCACGGGGGCTATATTTGGCTAATACATAACAAAATTGCATACAAATAAGCAGTTAAGGATACATCTGCGTACACATACATAGCTGTAATTCGTTTAAAACGTACACTGCATAGTTCTACATAGCTTTTAATGTATACTTGAGCTATTTGCACCTTTTCACTGAGCCGGTAATGGACATTGTGGATGAGGTGGTAAAACTGTTTTTCTCTCGCTGAAAAATAAAAGAAATTTTAACAATCACAGATATTGTGATGAATATAGTCTATAAATTTTTTTATAAACTTATACATATATATATATATATATATATATATATATATATATATATATATATATATATATATATATATATATATATATATATATATATATATATATATGTCACGCATAGGGAATGTGAACATTTAATCAAAAAGATAAAATAAAAAGAATATACACAAAATTTCTCTTAAATAGCTTTTCATTATTGTATTTCTTCTTTTAAAAATTATAATAGATAATTCAAGATTTATAATCTCTCATAATCTCTTTTTTTTAAATTTATAAACGAATTCAAATAATTTAGTTTTAAATAGTGTCTATAATTAATAACTAGGAGATAATGTACTCCGCTATAATGAACATAATAAAATTGAAACACTTTTAAATTAAAGATGCAGCATCAACTATAAATATCATAATGAATTTAGAAATTAGGTAATTTCTCTAAAAAATCTACTTACTCGAACAAGTAAATACTTCTAGAGTTGACGAGGTCAGTGATTCTGTTCATTCCTAAGTTGCCACCTTGATATAATCATCACAAACAAAAATATGTATATATATATATATATATATATATATATATATATATATATATATATATATATATATGTATATATATATAAAACTAAACACATTGAAAGTAGCATTATTATAAAGTTATGTTACATCAACATTTTATTTTCTAAAGTGTAGTATATTGAAAAAATTGAAAAAAATTCATGTACCAACACCATCTCCTTTTACACAACTTACGAAATGGACAGAGCAGATACCCTCGTGTTATGGGGTCTGTTGTCGTGGTACTCCCCACGATAACGTCGTAGAAACATCGTATATCGAAGTCAAAATACACGCACTCTGGCAGCGCTGCGCAGAACTCGAAGCAAGCCTGGTGGGTGGGGAATAGTCAAGTATAGCAGATATCCAGGCGCCAGGTTATTTAGCGCCTTAGGCAAAACTTATTGAAAGCGCCCCCCCCCCCAGCATTTTTTTTCGTGACCCCGTATTATCAGAGGCGTAGCGACCCTTCCCGGCGCCCGGGGACAAACTTTCGATTTGCACCTCCCCTCACACTTTCGATTTGTTTTTCCAACCCATTTTGGTGCCCCCCTCCTAGGGAGGAGTAGGGTAGGGGTTGGGGGAAAGGAGGATGGGGGGGGGGGGGGGGTTATCGTCCTTAACGACCTACTGATAGTGTTTTAAAGCAAATATTTTAGGTAGTAGCAGTGTCGGATTCACAAATTATGAATTACTGAAAAGTAGAAAATAAAACACCTGAATCGCGGCGTATGATACGCCGCGGGTCTGCTCGTAACAAATATTTAATCAATATTTAATCAGGTTTGAAATTGTATCAGGCAAAATATTAGTGAAAAATACGCAAATAATACTTTATTGATTTGAGTTTAAAAATTAATTGTTCCCTTGTTATTAAAGAAAATATATTTTATCAAAACATAAAGAACCATTTCTATTTCTGTAACGTTATAAAAATATAAATGAATTGTATTACGTATTTGTCTAGTATAATAACAGAATGTGAAGAGTTTTAATTTATTTCTGAAGTGATTACGACAAAATAATTAAAAAATAAAACAAATTGAAATATATGTTAGTCGTTATACATTATAATAACAAGCTTACAATAGAAATTACATTACAAAAATACTTTTAATAGGAACTCTACGTAAAAACATTAATTGCATTGTCATAAGTAGATATAGATCAACATTTCTTGCCTTATAATAATTTTTTTTATTTCATTGTGTAACCCAGACATTAAATCACGATGTTTTACTGTTTCAAAAATCACAAACTATTACCTGAACACTATCTACACTTTCTGGTGCGTAGTCCCCTATAACTGACACAATATCGCCGCATAGCGCTGTCCAGAACAGAAAGTTACCATGTTTTACTAGTACGTTTTACACTTTGTTCCATAAACTACATTTATAGGTAAGTGTCTTACTGGTGAAAAATACTATAATCTTATTAAATTGGAAGGTTTTGTATTATTTTTTAAAACTTTTTTTTTACAAAATATGACTATCTAAACTGGATTAATATGTTATTAATATCATGATAGAGGCATGCGATGGCGTGGTCGAATAGTATAGCACACAACTGCAAACCCGATAGCCTCGAGTTAGAACCCTAGTTTAAGTCGTAGATAAATACCTTACTCAAGTAAGGGAAAGTGAAGGCAGTACGGCATTGCGCGTAGAACACTATTTCTTCGTATGCCGTGGTCACAAGCAAGCTCTACTTCACAATCCCCAGGAACCGTCATGATTCAAAGTGAAGTCTATTTACTTTTTTACCAGAATAGCTTTTCAAAATATATTTATCATTTACACAGAAGATGTTGAAATCGTTCTTACTGTGAAAGTTGTGGAATTTGCAGTCTATTAAATAGTTTATTTAAAATGTACATATTTTTTTACTAAAATTAGCACGCATTTCCGTGCCTGCACATTATTATATACCCGGAAATTGGAAATGAGGTGATTTATCTTTTTGTTAAATTGTTTGTGTATGTTTTATGATAACATTGTAAAATTCATATAAACAAACTAACCTGTTACCCTGCTTGTACTCTGCAGCATGTATAATACAGACAGGAATATCACACATTTCATTTCTATATAACAAAATAACATTTAGAATGTATCTGAATGATAAAGTATTTTCATGTATCTAAAATACAATTACAGGACTTAACACCGCTATGAAATTTAAATATACTAGAATGGAATCTATAATATATTTTATAATTTTTATAACCCTAATTATAACAATTTATATATAAACACCTCTATTAAACAATTACAATATAATAAATATATAATTCAATACACATGTGTTCTTGAGAAATGTGTTATAATTTGTTTGTAAAGAATGTTGATGTACGTAAATGGTTATAGGCCTTCATTTGAAATGCCGACAGACAATAAGCAATACAATACCGCACAAAAAAAATGAGAAAATAACTGTAATAACCTTCTACACATCCTATTTGAAAGTGACAAATTGAAGAAGATTAGTTCTTGTTCAATCCTACACCAATAATGGTATCTAAATTAATTAATTGTATCTAAAGTTAGTTAATTAAATCACGACTTCTTAAGATTAATCATCTATATAATTAGGCAAACTAATGAAAGTTACGTAACTTAAATAAATACGTGAATTGAAAAACGAATTATTCATATTAGTGTTATTATAGGTATGGAGATTAGACATCTGAATAAATACTAGATAAGTAATATTTCGGTAAATCTGTTTTATACATTTTTTTATTATCTTCAGCAAAAAAAGCGACTTTATCACAGAAAAATAAAATAGCCTAAAACACTTCACAATTCAAATATATTAACACCTCCCTTACCTGCTGTTACCCAGAAAGTACGTGGCTATTTGTAACACGGTCTCGCCGGTGTTAATGGATGAACGAACTCACCTGTACCTTGCGTGGGACTATACATCAACATAGAGACAGTGTTTAGTTTGCCTGAGGTTATAGCTCATTCTTGATTTTATGTTTGCGTGATGTTACACAGAGATGATTCTCAAACTGTGGTTTGTTAGAGTCAGTGCTAAAAGCATATGTACAATACATGAAGCTTGACATAGTAGGTAAAGTAGAGTTTTCAAGTGTTCTTTTTTCTCCCCAAAATATGTGTGTGTAACAAGCAATGTTATTTTCCCCCGACTGATGTTGAGTACTCAGTATAACTGGTTGGACTCGAAAATGTCGTAATCTCAAGAACCACAAACGAAGCAGCTAACTTTTTGAAAGTTAATCGTTTCATTTTAATCTAGCATAAACTAAACAATGGTTTGTAAAACAAGTTGTGTTGTGTAAACGATCTGAAAGAAACATTTTTTCGCCTACTATAGCAAAAAAGGGCAAGAGTAGTTGTTCTTCTACGTTGAGAATATCGGTAGTTCATCAGGGTTGATACGATTCGTTAATCATCTGTAGATAAGAGAAGTTGTTCTTTCTCATTGGCCAAGGGCAAGATTCGTAATACAAATTGACCTACATGTCAGATTGATTTTGTGATAGAGTGAACTACGTCACAAAGACACAAAAATGGTATCATTGTGTGTTTATAATCCATACAATGGCAAAATGGAAGATGGATGACTCAGACGGATAAAACATGATATTTGATTGGTTGAATGTGTATTTGTTAGGGAGCATTTGGGTGTGTCTTAAAATGTAATAAAATAGGTCTATTTGTGTAGGTTTACTAAGTGTAATGGCTTTAGCTTTAGATTAGGCGATACTGGCATCTGGTTTATAAATATTACATTTGTTTAATAACATTACAGGGACACAACTCCAAAATCAAACAACTGCTTTCTTGTAGTTTGTTCTTGGTTGGACAAAGGCTATGGAAGCATATCCAAAAATAAAAGCTGGTTGAAATCGGAGTCAACGGCCTATACGTCGAATAAAAATAATATTTAATTATGTTGGTTTGAATACCTTCAAACACTGAAATCAAGAACGAACACGAACAAATAGATAAAAAAGAACGGTAATATTATATTTTTACGAAAAACAAAACGCATACAGCTAAAAAGCAAAAATGTAAACTCTTCTGAATGGATCTATAAGTTAGTATATTCTAAATAAAAATATCTCAGCATTTTTAAAAATCTTCTATCAAAAAGATCTATTTTTTTCAGAAGAACATGAAAAAAACATAAAATAAGTTTTATTATTATACTCCGAACGTGAACAAGTGTCACCTTTTATTCAGCGTAAATTCAGTTGGCTGTCAACATTCCGCTAATCCCCCATCAAACAGACAACAGTTAGGGTTAAGCCTGGACAGTAACCTGGGATAAACATTGTACAAGTTATGATTCGTGCTCCTGTCTTCCCGTTTAGCTTGCTTTATTTTTAGAACTTAAAAATCGATGTAACCAGTTTATGCAAGTCATACGGTGTAGGTGTGTTCATAGTTTTCATATGGTGTAGGTGTGTATATAGTTTACATATGACGACCCTACTGAGGTTAATTTACCAGTGAACCATTTACATTCTGAAAGATCAGTGGGAATATAATGTGTATTCGCTAATACGTTTCCTTGTATGAAAAAAATAACCTGGGCTAACATCGACCTCATTATGGTCTCCCCTGATTAGTTACATCTACATTTATACACAGATATATACATATATACATATATATATATATATATATATATATAATATATATATATATATATATATATATATATATATATATATATATATATATGTTACGGTCAAAGCCCGAAGTCGGCCAATGCTAGGATTGGCCGGCCAATCCGCGCATTGGCCAATATCGCCTCCCATTGGTCGGTCAAAGTCCGAAACTTTGCTTGATTTCGGCCTTTGGCCGGCCAATCCGCAGACTGGCCATGGTGGACCGGCCAAAGTCTTAATTAGAAGATCATCTGGCAAGGGACGACCGGCCAAAGTCCGAATTAGAAGATCATGAGCAGATTTTGGGTTTTTTTTATGCCGTAAGGATCATGTAATTAAGTCTTTATTGATTATTAATTAAAGTAAATGACAGAAACATTCAAAATTTTTTATTGTACTATAGTCTCAATCTATCAATATCATCATTTGTTACAAGTTGAACTTTTATGGCATTTAGAATTACACAGCAGCTTGTTATTTTTACACTTGCAGCGATTTGTTGTGCACTTAGTTGTGCTATTGCAGCGAGTGTAGCCTTGGCCCCCAGTCTATGATTATGAAGATGCGATGGTTTGTAGTGATTTTTCCTCAGTGCCAACTGACGACAATAAGAGCAGTTTTTCTTGAAGAATTGAAAACTCACTTCTAGCATACAGTTGTTTT